TGTCTCTCGTAATCATATGGTGGTTTTGGGACGTTAAACCTCACATATCAATCAATCAATATACTATATGGCGAAGGTTCGTCGCGGTGCAACATCAGCCTTCATTAGAACGTTGGGGAAGGGGGTGGGGAGGACCTAGAGCAATCTTGCTTGGCTACAGGCCTGGATATAGTGTGAATATAGTCGAATTAATCCGCACATGAGTGGCCTCGCTCTTGTTATCGTCTGCACCATTCAGAGCTAAAACCCTTCCATGCATTTTCCGCCGGCTATAGGTTAAATAGCGCCAACTTGTCTTCCCCCTCTGCCTTTAGCGGCAGTAGACGTGATGGAGGTTTTAACTCAGACACCGGGATGCTGCTGTTGCTGCTGCTGCTGATGATGATGATGATGAAGATGATCATCCTCGTGCATTGGTGGCACTTGCCCACAAAGGGGGATCGGCCAAGAACCGGGCGGTATACAGGATTCTTGGGTTAGTTGGTTATGTATTTCAAAGCATGCAATGTAGTTTCAGTAAAACAAAAAAAAAATCGTAAATGTTGTATGACAATGCTACACGAGCTAGCGGTCAGGCAATCAGATATTCTCGGAGCAAAAAATAATAGCATCAATAGACTATCAACATTCAGCGAGTGTTGTCGTATTGTCCCTAATACCTGCCATTACCTTTAGTCGGGGCCACCGAAAGTAAACAAGCCTCGCAAAATGAAAAAAAAAAAAAAAAAATGAAGCGATCACGCACGCTTCTTACAACGATCTGCCTTTGGTCCCTGCAGGCATTCCTGGCGTAATGGCGCTGACCAACTGTATAATTCTTGAAATGCAACACCAGGGGACCTTGTCCGCCATTACCGTCATAACCCTACGCTTCAATTAATGATGGGAAACGTACGACTAACTAAATATGAGAGGAATAGACTCTGCGCCTCCCTTAGACCGGACTTGGGCTTCGGTGGTGGTGAGGGGGCACGTTTAAGAACAGCAGATGGTCAAAATTTACGGAGACCGAAGTATTTATTCCTCATAATTATATCGTGGTTATGGGCCATAAAACCCCTATTATTATTATTATTATTATTATTATTATTATTATTATTATTATTATTATTATTATTATTATTATTATTATTATTATTATTATTATTATTATTATTATTGATTTCATTTTCCCCTTAAATGGCTTATATGACATGTAGTGGGATGCAGCCTTTCCTTAGAACCAAACAACTTACATAGTCCCACGTTGTTTAATAAAATTAGTGCGCGATCTGCGCTACTCTGCGCGAATAGTACGTGGGGGTCTTGGCCGAAGGTAAGCAGCAGTTTCGTTTGTCTGATTCACGGTGTATTTGCAGCGCCAATTGAGCTCACAATACGCATGTTCTCACGTAACAGAGAATTAGATAAGAATTAACAGAGACGTAGAAAGGTGAGTGAGATATGCAGCCTGCTCAGGCCTGAGGGGCGGTGGGAAAGGGAAGCATTATCGCTTAAAAAAAAAAAGAAAATGCATGACCGATAATGCAATGGACGAAGGAAGGTCGAACAATGAATTTCAAATTTGAATAGTTTTGGCGAGGGCACCACCTCGGACAGCTGGTTATGCGGTTGCCAAATATAGATCAGGCCTCAAATAAAACGCACGCCGAACTCACAGTATCACTACGCGTATTATGGAGAAATTAAATCAAGAACGAAACAACGGGTTTTAAGTGAACCTTTAGTTCGTATTTCAGTTATTCATGATCGCTTCTGCTAATGAAAATTCACGACGCAGCACACATATATTGATGGCTTGTAGCTTGTGAAAAAGGCTATATATGGCCGCCTTTACTTACACACTGCTGCACTTTTCGCATGGGGCTAAGGACCCAAAATAATCTCGAGCGTGGAAGCCTCCTCCTCTTAAATTGGCTAGTATACATGGTCACGGCCTCCACAGCAGCTGGCACGACCACATGATGAGTTGATACAAAGTGCGCTTTTCCTACAGCAGTCGTGGCATTGGCTTAGACGCAGAGTTGGAAATCGGGCAGTTCAACCCCCTCCCCCCGTAGATGTTGTTAAAGTAGGCATGTGTACTTATACACGTACCTATACCTACACACGAACATACATACATACATACATACATACATACATACATACATACATACATACATACATACATACATACATACATACATACATACATACATACATACATACATACATACATACATACATACATACATACTACATACATACATACATACATACATACATACATACATACATACATACATACATACATACATACATACATACATACATACATACATACATACATACATACATACATACATACATACATACATACATACATACATACATACATACATACATACATACATACATACATACATACATACATACATACATACATACATACATACATACATACATACATACATACAAGCACACTTTCCTACCCGTCCTGAATATATTTCTTTGTACACCGCTGCTCGAATGCATTTGGCTTCAAGAGATGCAAGTCTTTTAGCAAGTTACGAAAATACGATACGAATACGGCATTTCTTATAGCATCGCACTTCCTTTATCGATAGTTGTGCTATTACCTTTCCTGATTGCAGTGAATTAAAACACGCACACCATAAAAGGCTTTTTTTTTTTTTCAAAAATTGCTGTGGGGTTGTCATTGCTGCCTATCAAGCTACACATTGTTAACGAGGAACCTGCAGCAAGGAGAAGTTTATTGACTTCCAACCAAGGATAAAGTACATGACAAAAACATCGAGCTTCACGACTACAAAGGGTGCATGTACAATCAGGAAAGCACCACTACCGAGGTACAATGTATGTGGGGGAACGTACCCCTCTATTTACTGTACAGCGCGTGGTGCTCCAGCAGGCTTAATCATGCACGGTGGTAGGTCTTCTCAACACGCGGTTGGAACAAGTAGCGACTTAGCGCTGTACAACTCTAGGTATTATTTCTTTTTTGTCGCCTGAAACAATGCTGCTTTCGTACACGGTAAGTGCATGCCCGGAAGTATAAAAGAGGCCTTGAGGCTGGGGGGGGAGGGGGGGGAGGGGGGTACAAGGGAGTGGGGGGGGGGGGTCTTGTCTTTCCCCAAATAAGGCATCAGCAACAATCTGCGCGTAAAAAACTGACTGAAGGCGCCTGCAGTGTAGTTCGGAGCGCGCACTGAATAAAGGAGTAACGCTGCGGTAATACCTTGCCGTATTTGCGTACAGTGTTTTCGTGGCATGCAATAAGACTCCACTGTAGATTTGGAATGAAACGCGGAGCGTACAGTACACAAGCCAGAGTCCAAAAAAAAAAAAAAGGTTTGAGTTATTTTGACATCTCCAAGGCGTAATTTTCTTTGTTGTGTAATCAGTGTTCACCTCTCATCTGCATGCCGCGCTACAGTATACCACTTATCAAGCTTCATAAAATATACCTCCAGTTTTCCTTGTTTCTGTATACATTGTACCCATTCAAACATAATTTAACGTGAACTTCAATTGTGGGGTTCGTTTAAACAGACACAAGGCCGGTACATATCCAATCTCATCAATGACGTCATTAAGGCACCGGCATATTATGCAACCGAAAAAACAGCTATCAGTGAGCGAAAGCGCTAATGCTCACGGTGTTGCTTTCGTATACCATGAGCTTTCTTCTCTGGATAATCTGTGCACCCGTGGACTGTTGTGATTCGTAGGCGTCGGCCCATGTGCCGCATTGTGTTGTAGGCCATATATAGTTTCCTATATATATACTAGTGGGAACTCTGGCGCTAGTGTCTATGGGAACTGCAGCGCACGGCGCTTTATCGAGCATGGAATTATAGGTAGTGCACGCATTTCTCTAATTTTCATACTTCTGGCACCATGCATGTTCGTGTGGCTTAGAGCTGTTTTCTCACGAAACAGAACTCGGCGCAAATGTTCAGTGATGGCGCTTCACCACCTTATTTTTTTAGGCTTACCATTTCAAATCGGGTCACGAAAAAGTTCAAAAGGGATCGTTCTTTCCTTCGAAACAAAACCGAAACACAGCAATAAGAGAAGCCACAAGTGGGATTCACCGCCCGCAAGTACGACGACTAGGCATTTCTGTGTATTATCCGAGCCCCGCCCATCATTCCCATGGTCGCTGAACGATCGCAGTGCCATGCAGAGTCCCCTCTATGTGTTGTAGACACGCCGAACAAGCAACGTTTAACATCGTTCGTATACAGCCGAAGCTTGCTTGAATATAACCGACACCATATGCTACTCTTGATAAAACAATCGCAGGAGCTCGGAGTTCAGCTGTTGTTGAGCGCAAGGTCAGTGGTTTTATGCGTGACGGCAGCATGGAAATGTGTATACATATATACCGTGGTCATGGTGAAGGCAAATGATGCAACTATGGTCAAAAGGTTTTTTTTTTTTTTCATCTTCTGATTCATAATTCTCGTCTTATGTATATACAGCCCGTGTGACTGCATGACTCATTCGGCTCTGGTGGCTGCCTGTTCGGAGAATCGTACCCGTAAAAGTAAGCTTCTATAGCTTGCAGTTGTAAACTTTGCAGCAGTATTGTCAAGTGACTGTGGCAAAGAAGTGTCGCGCGCGAAGGTCTCGTTAGACCCATGTCTGACAATTGCATGTCTGACAATTTACTGATGTGCGGTGACGTGTCACATGCATGACGCTATTCTTTTCCAGAGTAGGAAAATTTATCCATTGGTAGAAAGCCGCGATAGAAAAAACATCCAGTGTCTCCCCAAGGCACACCAGCGATTACTCATTCTCCCTTACCGCAACGCAACAGGGGCTCGCACCACCACCCCTCCCTCAGTACAACATCCCACCGTCGCCCAAGCTTTGCTTACAGAAAGAGAATCCATCCGTTGAAGAGCTGCATGCGTGGCACATAACGGCCTGTGCATTGAAAAAAAAAATATTAGGATGTGTCTATCACATCCGTAAATTGCACTTACTTCTTTCTGCATCCAACTCTTTGCCGAATTCATCACCTCCTCGGAGGACCTGCAATAGCTCATCCTGCGCAACTGACTGGTCATGACGACGACGGAACTGGGAGACACAACGCAAAGAGTAATTAACAGGCGTGTTAAAGGATCTTAACTCGAGCCTCGCGTATAGTGGGCCTTAAGGCAACAGCTCCGCACACTGATGTTAAGTTAGCTATCTGCCAGCACTGCAACGTCAAGCGGGCGCCAGCACGCTCTGAACAGAGGCGGGACAGGCTCCACTTCCTGTTTGGTGCATCGCCATGGCAACGCGTCTTTGCGAATCGGCACGTCTAGCGTTCGTTGCCGCTGGTCACGCGGCGTGATCTGAAAACCGAGCCGGACAGTGCACCGAGATTGAGTAAAATATAGACATAGATCCTCCTGGAACCGATACAGCATATAGAGTGGTGGCATGCCCGGCACCCCAGGCACGTCTACGTACGATATCTGCAGCTCACACGCTATACGGCATCGCAGTTTTCACGCACCAAGAGAAGCATGTAGCTAATTTTCGAAAGAAGCAGCAGCACACACACACGTACGCGCAAACACTCACAAAAGGGTGTGTCTGTGTTCGGCTGCCGCGTAATTGTTGCTTCATCTGAGAGCGCTTGACCTCATGCAGTGTGTAGTAGTTGCTGGCTCGCGTGGGGACGAATAATGATGTCGTCTAAGTCAGTGGCAATGTTTTTGTTGCCTTAATTCTTCTGGTACCTTTATACATCTACCTAGGTTCTTCCTTGTACCTTATAGACGTTGTACCTTCTCGGTTGTGTGAAGTCGGGTGCATCGTACGGTATACAGCTGGAGCGATGTATATTTTATTCGTCATCACGCTCATTAGAAGGAGCGTGCCTACGTGTGCTTATCCTCGTTGGGGTAGTTTTGTCCTTGGAGAAAGCCAGCTCTATGTGGCTTGAAATGCGACGGTAGACGCGTTGTTTGTGGCTGCGGCAACTGGCAGAACCAGTTTCTCTGACACAACTGTCATCAACCCGGGGAAGCCGTAGCACGAGAAGGGCGCGCGGTTCGCATGTCTGACGTAACGCTGGCCCGCACCCAATACTGCTAGACAATCCTTGATTTCTGTTATTTATCTTTTCTTGCTGTTATTGAGAAAATACGTACGTTGCTCGTCTGATTTCGACACATTACGAAATCATGCAGACATGACACAAGGTACATATGTAAAGGACATCGCAGCGCTAAGAAACGTTATACCAGAAAGCATATGCTATGTTTAGGAGGGCGAAAACATTGCGGTAGCTGTAGCTTTGATTCGGCCGTGCAACAGCAGCTAACGTGTTGGGCTAATTAGCAGTCGCTGAAAAGGACCAGCCACTGCACGCAGCTCAGCCCTGTAATGTAACCGCACAAGGCTCAGACGACTAAACAAAGGTTTTCGCCGCCACCACTACAGCAGTTTTCCAGTGTTCGATGTAAATCTGCCCCCCCCCCCCCACATACACACGCGCGCACGCACGCACGCACAAAAAAAAAACAAAAAAAACCGGACATTCCGCTTATGCCCTAACAACAGCCACCTGATCCGAGACCGAGATCCCGTATAACGTTCCTAACAAGCTTGGGAAGACTGAGCAGAGTAGGGGCTTAGCTTTGGCAAGTTAACTAGAGCTGTAGTCGGATAGAGCTTCGGTAGTCTGAAGAGGCCCCGCCTAGGTGATCAAAGCAGCCGCCCGCCTCCGCGAATGGAGAGACTCGCTCGGTACCGGCAACGTTCTCCTACGGAGGGGTCGCCGACCGTCCGCCTCATGACGTCACTCTCGAGCATGCTCCCATCCGTGCAGGCTCGTGTGCGTCCGCAGTTGAGGAGGAAATGCCGCAGACTCCTACGCTATGCGGTGACGGAATGAAGCTTTTTTTTTTTCATACGCGTGAAAGCCAATCAAGATGCTGGCGATTCCAAGAAAAGGACGAAAGAAGTCAAACTGTCGCTGGCGGCAAACCAAAATTAAACTAAAAGAAAACGCATTTTACTACCGGAGCCTTTCAACTTCGAATGCGGTAGTGACGCGAAGGTTAATTACCATTTCATAAAATAGGCTCATCGCCGTCCAGCGGGCCAGGGCTGTCGCCGAGGACCTCGGAAGACGTTCCTCGAACGATGTGTCCCTGGCAGCCTAGCCCCGGGCACAGCAACAACCGTTGGACAAATAAAGTTCATTCAAGTCAACTCAACTCACCTCATCGTATTGTGATCCCACAATGAAAAAAAAAAAAAGAACTTCCCTAGCATCGGGACAGAAAAGCTGCTAAGAAAGAAAGAAAGAAAGAAAAAAAGATAGAAGGAAAGAGTATGAAAGAGGGAAGAAATAGATAGATAGACAGAAGAATCAAGACATAAAGAGAAAGGAAGAAGGGCAAAAATTGAACAATATAATAATTGTGGGGTTTAACATCCCGAAACCATCATATGATAATGAGAGACGTCGTAGAGGAAGACTCCGGAAGTTCCACAACTCGGGGTTCTTAACATGCGCCCTAAATCTAAGCACACGGGCCTCAAGTATTTTCTCTCCATCGAAAATGGGGCCTACGCGGCCGGGATTCGATCCCTTGACCTTCGGGTCAGCAGCAGTGCCTTAGCCATTAGACCACCGTGGTGGGTTAAGAGGAAAAAAATACAGAGCGAGAAAGACGGAGAAATGCTTATATAGAAACAGATAGAAATGTGAATAAACATAAACAAAGAATACAGAAATAACAGAGGGATAAGAGAAAAATAATGAAACAGAGGGAAAGAAAGAAAAAGAAACTGAATAAAACTCTGCAAAGTTTGCCACAGGGAATCACACGACGAAGATTGCGATGAACTTCACTTCATACGAGGAATAAAGCCGTATACTTACATGAATGTATACTATACGTTCATGTCTCAGACCGAGGAACACGGGAATAGATACACAAGCAAGAAATAGTGGGACGTGCAAGTAACACATATTTTTCCTTTCCGTCGCAAAAAAAAAAAAAAGTTATTTCGCGCACCTTAAATTTGTTGACTCTCTTGCCTCTAAAATCTCACAATTACAGTCCCGTCTTGCACGTCAAAGTTCTTAAATATACATTGTTCATATGAACATTTAAATGCAGAATGAATGTTATATGCAGGAAGCGAGAATACTTTTTTTTTTTCTAAACGTAAAGAAGGTTGTAAATATGGACAAAGAATACAAGCCAGCTCTCATTAGTATTAACAAGCGTTATTAGTCCGATTTTCAAGCAGAATTTATTCGGGGTGTTCGGGAATTGCTATTTTCCTAGGAAACTATTGACATCATGGGCAGGTCCGTTCAGTCCAAAGCTTTGCCTACAGTCGATAAAAAAAATACAACGCTTATTGTTCTATTTACACGTTTTATGACTTCCCTTGAACATTTTTGACAATACATAGCTCGCATACCGTGAATGGCAACCCTTTCATTCACGGTGTTCACATTTGTGTACGCGAATTACAAAGGGACGTCACGGCGTTTGTTTCTTCAAATGGCTTGAAACTCGGTGTGGCTTGAAATGGCTTGAAACTCGGCTTCCTGAGTGGACAACTAGCAGTCATTTGATTTCATTCTGCTCCGTATCGCTCCAGAGGATCACTTTGCTGGAGGCACTACCATGTTTGACGATCGTTCGACGTCCCGCAGTCCAGGACCAACGTGAAAAATATTTTTTTTCCTCCCCTTGAAACGAATGCAACCAAAAATCAAACTGGGCATGCATTTTGGGCCTAACCAATAATTCTCGAAGCTGGCTGGTAGAAATATAATTAGATAATTAGTTGTAAACTCATCAACTTTAATTGGTGAAACTCGCACGAAACAACTCGTTCATCCATTTCCTTTCTTGGAATGTAATACCGCGTGCCGTGGAATTATGCCACGCGCATTTCATGCGTTTCGGACAATGCCATCATAATGCGTGTCTGAAGGGGGTAAAGACGCGAATCCTCTTTGTACAAATTACGGCACACTTACGCATGCTCAAGTATGTGTGGAAGTGACAAAAGGGTGCTAAAATAAAGACACAATTAAGATAAAGAATATACGCTTCTGTGAGCTTTTTTTAAAATTAAAATGTGCTTTCAGAAAAGGCGTGAGGAAGGTGAACAACTTCCGTTAAAAAGTGACGTGTCCCGGTAGCTAACTAAAAAATACCGAATAACATTTAGATTATTAGCGTAGGTCAAACGTATGCACGCACGGTGCATTTACCCGCACCCGGTTAAAAGAGAGGGCAAGAGAGAGAGCGAAATAAAGAGAGAGAAAAGGTCTGTTTCCTAACTCTTCCTGCGAGAGGGGGGGGGGGGGGTGAAAGGATCATGAATGAAAAAAAAAAGTCTATTCATTTTAAGGCGAGGAAAGCATATTTATAGGTGAAACTATTCGCGGATTTTATAAATTCAGGGGCAGGAACAAATGATACAGGTGGATTGGAGTTGATCAAGCAAGCAATTTACTGCCGTGGGGAAACAAACCCACCAACTTCGCTTCAGAAAATGGGCAGTAGATGAAAAAAAAAATAATACCAGACTAAAACATTTTCTTTTCGACTGGTTTCTTCGTTCGGATTTATCCTTCATTCTGGAATACCCGTAATTTTTTTTGTCGCACGCTTCGTTCTGCAAACGAGTGGATGTCTTTTATTTTTTTCTTTTCACAAATTTGAATTGTATCCGTAGATTGTGTCGACGCTCAGCAAGGAGCTTGCACGCGGCCGAACTTAACGGTTACCTTCCTAAAGTGACCTGGGTGGCATCGTACCTAGTAGTCTTTTAAAAAATGGCGGCACTGTAGCAACTACTGGTGGCGCCACAAAAATCTATCTAAAAATACTTCAGTTGTTCGCAGTAATAAAGTTTATGAATGTGTTCTATGTATTTTTAATAATTAGTGTGTACACAATTTACGTAATTATTGTTTCATTAACTAGCAGTTTGTAAGCCTACTTTTAGAAACGCAGCGAACAAGTTTTAAAAACCTACTTTGAACTCGTTAACTAAAAACTGCTTCCTATAGTTTTAATCGTTAATTTAGAGTTCTAATGTAAATTTTTTGTAGCGTTGAGCGGCTGAAAAGTGCGCGTTTATTTGATAGTTGTTTTACGGCTGCGTTTCGCTAGTTTCTTGTTCATTCTGGCAACATAAAATACAAATTCCCAGAATTCATTGCAACACATAGTCGCCATTTTTGTTGAGAAGTGGGCTAGGCAAAGTTACACGACGGGACAGTGGGAGTGTTGGTTGCTGTCACTAATTTTTAGCGCCTCGCAAGGCGACTTCTTTTTGTTTCTCGCGAATGTCAATAATTATAATGGCCGTAAAGTTTAGAGTATTTGGTCCGAGGTAGGATTGACAAACTATCCACTCGGCGGGAAAAAAAAAAGACAAGAAACACTCCCTCTGTCGGGAGGTAATCATGGCCGACAAAATCTGTGGCGATGGCATTGGGAACAGTACTGGGAGATTGTATAACGCCGAAGTAGATTTAATAACACCGTCTACAATGTACGGCAGCAGCCCCGGCGAACCGAGGACGTTGGTGCAATCTGTGGATACCGCGGGACCGAAAAAGAAGCCGACGTCGTTTCAAATCACCAGCGTCACCGTGCAAGGGTCCCGGTTAAGCAACGACGGCGGCGACGAGAGTGCCGACGACTTGGACGAGAGCCACACGGAGGACCTGAGCTCCGACATTCTGGATTGCTCCAAGACCACCGACACGGAGCAGTTGTCACCGACGGAAGACAACACGTCGACCGTGACGCCCACCTCCTCCTGTGAGGCCGACCCCCCGGTGACGGTCAGTGCCAGCGATCTCGTGCCCGGCGTTTCCTCCGCGGTGTCTGTGTCTCCGGCGGTGGTTACCGGCGCTGCGGGCACGCTAGCCATCGTGGCTGGCGCGCCCGCGGCGCCCAGCACCACCGAGGGCCCCATCAACCCGGACCACTGGCAGCGGCGCTTCAAGGTGGTCAAAATCGTCAGCTCCGAGCCGTTTGGCCGAGGACGCTGGCTATGCATGGACTTTGTGGACCCGCCTGCCATGCAGGCCGATGCCAAGGCCGGCGAAGAGCGCGACAACACCACCGCCGCTGCGGACCTCCCGCCTGCCGTGTCCAACGAAGCGGTGGCCCACGTGTACGAAATTCCAGTCGGTCAGACGTACCCGGCCAACAGCCAGCAGAGCGGGCCTCTGTACGGCATCATTCTACCGGTGTCTGGTCAGGGCGCCTCGCCCCTAAGTGTGCTTCGGCCGATCGCCGAGCAACAGCCGCAGGCGACAGCAGTGGCCGAACAGCCATCCGCTGTTCCGCCGAAGCCGGCTGCGGCGGTGCCCGAACCACAGCAACCGGCCGATGCTTCTGCCGCTGCGACAACCGTCGAGCCCATCCCCGAGAACGCGACCAAGTCGGCCACGGAGGAAGACTCCGAGAGGTTCGTGTACACGTTTGTTGCCCCGTCGCGATGCGCTGCCGGTCACGTTCGGCGTGACTCATCCCGTCTTCAGTCAGCCCTCGCATCTGCGACGCGTAGTGCTAACGTGTGCGAGGTCATCGGATAACGCTTGGGTGGCTGCTGTTTTCATTGCCTGCACTGTTTTGCCGCGGCTCTAGTTACCGGAGGGACGAGCACCTAGCCGTGCTCGCCTAACGACCTGTCATAACTATCGATACCTGTCAAAGCATTTCGCCAGTGGCTATCGGCTGTACTCGAGTTATGTTAGGCTCCTTTGCGTCAATATATCCGCATTGCTAGCATGTTACGAAGGCCCTCGTCCTTGGTTTTAGCATGACTTAGCTTTTATATTTTTTTAAGGCGATCTGAAGGCTTGCCAGAAGCTGCTTAGAAAAAGTATCGCTAGTAGCGATGCCAGGCGTCTTTTTTTTTTAACTGTTTAGCGTGTAATGTTTTTGCTGTTATTTCAGAAAAAGCTGCACTGTTGGAGCAATAAATTCTTACAGGGTTAGGATTTAGGCCGAAGTTATTATTGCACATTATGCCTCACCAAGATGTGCACCTTTACAGCTGCAGTAAAAGTGAAAGATCAAAGTAGAGCTCAAGTGCAGGCAGGTAGATTTTGCTGCTTTCACGATTCTATTATGCCACTCGTCTGTGCTTAAAACAGTGTGAAATAACATTCGTTATTAAGTAACAGATGACAAGCAACCATTATAAGGCAGCATTGACATGGCACAGATAATGCACAGCTTAACATTTTTTATTCAAAATTTTTCATCACTGGGGGAGAAGAGCCAACCAAGTAGGCCCAACTCTAGACTATGTAAATGAAATCTTGCAAGGATTGAGTGCTGCATTGTAGCAGGTTTCTAATAGCTTTTAGATAGCCACTCATGCTCTAGGGGAGCGTACACTCCACTGGTCCTAAACTTCAGTGCATTGGCACAACTTTTGCTGCACATGTCAAGCATATCGAAAAGCTATATAAGTAAATATTGCCTGTCTCTTGCCCACTGTGCTGGCTTAGAGGCTCACTGCTGTGCTGTCATCCTTGAGGATGCTGTTTCCATCCTCAAGAAGTACTTTGGTTTGTGCTAGCTGGTTCATAGTACTCACTTAGAAAGGACAGAGACAACACATCAGCATCTGCTTTCTTCACAATAATTACTTTTTGTGCAAGAACCTCACTAAAGTGCATCTTATGTGGCATAGTAAAATGTTTCAGGTAACATATTGCTATTTTTTCATGTAAGTAGCCGGAAGAAACTGAGGATTGCTGTGGAGTCGTGCCCCATAGACCTTGGGTACTGTCAGCATGCCTAGATGCTGGCTTGCACTGTCCTTCTTTTCCCCAGTGTTTTTGGGCTGCCCTTTCTAAGTGAGTTCCTTTCTCAGCCATGGTGACCGCATTGAAGTGACGGCAAAATGCACAAATATCCATGTATGTTTATGCGGTTTAAATGAACTTCAATTAGTCACATCTAATTTGGAGTTCCCCACTATTGTTCACCATGATTGTTAGGTGGCTTCGGCATGTAAAACCTTAGAATATTTTTCTAGCAAATTGTCTTTCTAGACTTCTCTAAAAGCTAATTTTAATAAAACTTGATTCAAGAATTAGGTATTTCATGAGCAGGAATCCAGAGATTCTTAGGAGAATGAGCGAATTTTGTTGCGAAAATTTGTCTTGAGTGAACCAAAGGACTTCCAAGCATGCAAAGTGCCATGACCTGCTTCCATGCTTTATTTTTTTTTGTACAGGTTTTGCTTTTTTTGCATGCCTAGCCATTTGTACTCCCAAACTTTGCACTCAATCTAAAGCTGCCAATTTTCCATGTTCTAAAATGTCATGAAAGGATAGCGTCCATCATGCCGTCACATCAGCATCTGCTTTCTTCACAATAATTACTTTTTGTGCAAAACCTCACTAAAGTGCACCTTATGTGGCATAGTAGAATGTTTCAGGCAACATATTGCTGCTTTTTCGAGTAAGTAGCCTGAAGGATCCGAGGATTGCTGTGGAGCCGTGCCCCATAGACCTTGGGTTCTGTCAGCATGCCTAAATGATGGCTTGCACATATTGTGCGTTGGATTACCCAACTCTATTGCAAAACAAGACCCAGGGCAGAGCTGTTGCAGCCTATATGTATTATTAGTGGCTTATAATTCTACGATGAAATCACTTACTTAGACGAGTTCAGAAAAATAGCTTTAGTTCTCTTAGTTATGAAATAAATCTATTAACTTTAAGGGACACTTAAGAGAAATAATAAATAGCCTTAGACCAATAAAGTGTTCCTTAAAGTTTTGTGATAATAGGCCACTGAACTGGAAAAAAAAATTGAGATTGATTTTTTTTTTATTCTTGCGATGAAAATCCAGCACTGACATGTCAATGTGATGTACTCTATATATTTACTTGTTCTTAGACCACAAAAGCTTGATGAAGGTTCCTTAAGCATGCCATATTTAATCTTGTACAACTTCAGAACATGCTGTGTTCTATTTTCATCATTAAGCAGTTAACTGGGAACTAATAGATGCTGTCGAAACTGGTGATGTCGGGACGAGCTAGTGCAGGGACTTCGAAACATTGTCACCATCTGTCTTTGCTATGTGCGTTCTTTCTGACTGGCCAATACTGCCCTCGTGGTGAGAGTGCAGTTTCTGTAAAAGAACATAGTATCATGAAAGGGTTATTTTACTGATGTGCGTATGTGAAAATATCTTTCTCTTCAGTGTTAACATTTAAACTGTGGTGGCGTTGTGGGTTCCGTACACTGGGTGCCTGTGGGTGCTGTGGTGTGCATGCTGTGCTGCATGTTCTTTTGATGCTGTGCTGCACTAGACATTAATATTGATAAGTCTTTAGCTTGTTCCCTCAAAAGGTCTTATAGGTACAGCTGTAGTGCCAGAGAATGCTGCATGGTGCGCTAAGTTTTCGCTAAATTCACCTGGTAAGTCCAACACCTCAAGTTGTACGCGAAGGGATAATAACCCTTGAAACCACAGGTACGGGATGCGGTGTTGTATGAACAGGGCAACAAGGCGATGAACGGGGGTGTTCTACCGTTGCGTTTCTTCAGTTCTACTGCTGTGGAAGGTGTTCTACAGTGGCTGTTTGTGTGATATCGACTCCTGATGGCCAAACTGTGTACATTACAAGTCATGTCAGCTAATCTATTGCATTGAAAAATGGTCATGTGCATTCATTAGAAAGCACTGTAAGGTTTGCATATCAAACTCTATATTTTCTCATGGTTTATTTTTTTGCTGCAGTTCTTTTTGTTTTATGTTAGGAGTGCAAAGAGGCAGTCTTGGCATTTGATTCAGAGAGCAAATAACTTTTCTTTTTCGCCAGGTGAAAGTAGCTTAGGATGGGAATTTATGTATATTGACTTCAGACTCCTCAGGCATTCTTGTAAAGCAACAGACTGGTCTAGTTGGTGCTCGTTCATAGTTTGCTTGCACTATGTTTTGACATCGAACAGAAGGAAGAGGGATGCCATAATATAGTTTTGTTTATTTATGTGAGGTTATACTTGACTGTTTGGCAACACATCAGGCAGGGAAACTCGAAGGGACTGTCTAACACATCAGGCAGGGAAACTCGAAGGGACTGTCTACCGCTCGGCAAAAAAATTTCTGATTGCGGTGCAGATGGGAAGATCGTTAGCACAACCACATTGGTGACAACGAGCATGCTTTTTCCCATAAAAAAAAGGAATTATAATTTTAACTTATCTTGAAAGTCTACAAAAGATGACTTCTAGGGGAGTCACCCAACAGCGATGTGTTCAGTCTACTGGTAGGACAAGAAATTTTCTTAGGTAGCCTTATTTTACTTAAAGCATGTATAACTTGAAATTGTATTCAATGCGCTTGAGGCAGCTTTAGGTTGTGCCAAAGACTACTTTTTGTTCTTTTTTTCCTGACGCGTTCAAAGAGGTGCCCGGTCGCGCTGCCGGTGGCGTGTTTGCTTGCCTGCATGACTGCGAGCATGGCATCTGCCGCCGCTCATAAGAATAACAAAAAAAAAGTGTGCGGGCTTGAACAATCGATCAAGGTATTTGTTTTAATTATAACGAAACTTGATGAAGCCTGTAAAAGCAGCATGCTATTTTAGTTTTCAACTTTCAGCGATAGCACAATTGTCATCGCTTTCTCCGACCAGTGTTGTGGGCATTCATCCTACCAATGGAAAGAGACCGAATGCGGATTGAAAAATTTTGTTTTAAAAATTTTTACACCCTTTCAAGGCAAACTGCTGCAAGGTTAGACACTTCATATGGCACGCTTTTTATTGCGACACAAAACAGAAAAGCAGTGAAGGACGTTAGACAGCCCCTTCAAAGTTGTGCTGTCACACTTCCTGGGGATGAGATAAACATACCAAATATTACACGATGCTTTCAGCAATACAGGTCATCCTTCCAGAAGGATTAGGGGTAGTTGCTTCTACCCAAATCCATGCATTTAGGCTTGCCCTCTTGCTATAACGTTTTACAGGATGAAAACAGATACGGATATTTCACCGAAAGAGTTGGACCACATAAGTTTACAGCCCTAACACACGTTGCTGCAGATGCATTTCACTACCCCTTTTATTACTATTTAGCAGCAATTATAATTTAGCCGTTGATGTTTTTTTTTTTTTACTCCGCAACATATAAAACCCTGTGAGGACAGCATTGTGTGACCAACACACTTAATCCGTTTTCAGTAAGGGGCAGCTTGCAATTCATGATTTTAATGATCATAATGCAGTTTTTGGTTATCGATATCTGCTAAATTTTAGCCAATGTGTACATATGCACTTGCTGCTATATGTGGGCATCAAAACCATACCCGCGAAATGTCTTATCATTGATGACAAGAGGGCAATGACACTCGACTCGAACAATGCGCTCCCTGTTATTCTTCCGCTTTGAATGCATGCATTAGTCATATGCATTGACACTCATGATGCTGAGGAACAGTGCATATTTCAGAAATAACCAAACACACAGCCATTGTGTTGCATATTTACTGAAAGTGCATACCCACTCGGTATGCACATATTTCACGCTTTTGATCTTTTACTCAAACCTTATCTATGAATTTCTTATACGCAGCTTTTAGCATGAAATTGGCTTTTCAGTGAAATAAATTATTTCATTTTACTTCATAAAATAAAAAAAGGTATGTTAAATACTCTAGCATTCTTAATAATTGAGGCGTGCATTTTATTCATTTAACATTGGATCCATTCAACTTGCAGCATTTAAAGTCTAGTGTATCGGTCTTCAGACTTCATTTTTGCACCATTAAGGAACACTACAAGTTAAAGAACACCGCCTCCTTCTTTTCCTTCCTTTCTAACAACATAAATAATCGTATTTCCTCAAACAAGCTTTTATATGCTGTCATAGTAGAACAAGATTTCAACTGAAGCTAGCGGCTAGTGCATGCTTAATATCATCAGAGGTGTCCCCAGCCTCCAACAGCAGCAAGCTTAGAGGCCATGCAGTGCCTTGTTTTCATTGCAGGCGTCATTATCATTGTCATCAGTTATTTTCTTGAGGCCCTTTTGTGTAACATTTTAGAGGGTGGGTGAACGAAGTTCATAAGAGGCTGACGTACATCAGTCGTGCTAGTTCAAGAAAACTCTTCAAGAAATGTTGGCTGAACCTTTGACAACTGTTGTGGTAGTGGTCGCTTGGGTCAAGTCAATTCAATTTTATTTACCAGAAAAACAATCTGGAAGGACACCCGGGCCAAAAGCTGTTGCAGCAGCTTGATGAAGACCCAGGGTCCCTTACATGTCAATAGCACATACATGACACATGTCACCACATGATAAGTGTATGAACCTGTTTGTTCTAGCATCGTGTGGTTTGCTGTAACATTTTTCAGCTTTGCACATGAAGCTAAGTAAGCATCTGATGGTTGTAAAGATATTTAATTTGCACCGTTAGGTGGCCAGCCTGCTTGGGGCCTGTCTTCTTGTTTCCTGCGTTTGTAGTCGAAGTGAGGCTTATCTGGATGGAAGAATTCTGATTGGGCTCATTTGCTGCCTGCTTGGCATTGTCTTGCTTGGGCTGTAGTTTTTCACTGGAGTGGGCCCAGTGACTTGTGGTCTTGCTCGGAGGTTGCACTTTTTCGGCGGCTCTTGTCCAACCTCTGCTCTGCTGCTTTGTGCTTGGCTTTCTGATTTCCTCTATTGCTGGTTGTGCAGTGCAGGGGGAGGTGTGTGCTCCCTCACTCGCTCATTTTTTTTCCCCACCTTTCCCAACCTGCCTTTGGCTCCATTGCCTGGGCATTGATCAGGCATCTGGCTCTCAAGGTTTGCAAGGTACGATGTGTCGGCGAAATGGACAGGCTTTGTTGTGCGGAGCTAACTCTATTCTTTCTTTGTCTCGTGCTTCATCGTTTGTCCACTCTTGTGTGGGCTGTTTTTAAGAGCCGCTGTGACAGTCCTTCATTTCGACCTGAGCGTCTGTGTGTGCTCCTCAAGGTTTCCTGGCCGAGTGGCGAGGGTTCCCTCCCGGTTGCCCTTTGGCAAAGGTGGCCACAAGGCAAAGGTGCATGATTTGCTCCTGTAAGTATCCACGGGTGCTGGACTTACCAAGGTGCTTAGCACATATGCATGATATTAGTAGCAGCTTTACGATATGGAGCGTAAGGTGTAGGTGAAAGCAGGAACGGGCTAATTTCACCTTGCGTGAAGGATGCTGTAACCAAGATTGGTATGGCTAGTTGTACTAAGTACATGCAGCTTTGTGCATGTACAGCTTTGTACTAGCACAGATCTGAGGGCACTTACTTTCATTGTGTACTTTAGGAACATTTTATTCTCACTTTATTCAAATAAAGTACACACACTCTTTCATTGGGCTTTTGGTGCAGTTTGGAACTACTGTTGTGGGACAAATAAAATTACCTCTGGGTTTGACATTATTATCCTTAATGAGACAAACTTGTTATTTAAGGCCAATCAAATGAAAGAAATGAATGAGCAATAGTTTCTATGGCAGGCAAGCAAGTCGGTTTGATTGATCCAATCACTAATATTGAATACATTTAATATGTATGAGTGGTTACAATTTTAGAGACATTTCAAGCTGCCATGGGCTTGTTCATTCATTGAGGTGGTCCTAGTTATAATTTGCTTATTAAAATTTGGCAACCATTGCTTTGCCCACCTGGTCAGCAACAACGTGAATAACTAGGAACGCAGAGAATACTACTGTTGTGGACAATCCTGTCTTGCGAATGTCTCACGCATGTTTGTCACAATCTGATGTGGCTTACAGTAACGGGGATTTTCAATGCATAGAGGTATTGTTAGGAAGTGTGGCATTTCGTATATAGAGAGATCTATGTCCCTATTCTAGGCATGGACATGAAAAGGATTTATGCTCGACCTTGTTTCATGTTAAATTTCAAGTGCAAGTCTGAAATTTATCCTAAATATCAAAATTTTTATGCACATTTAACACTTGTACTTCTAGGCAGGGGTCATGCTTCTTAAGCTTATGTAGAAAGGTTTTGAGCTAAGCCAGTTGCTTTGAACATGATGAGTTGACAGAATGAGGAAGTAAAGACATCGTTGGGAAATGGGTTTTAACAGAGGTATTTTAAAAGTTGACATCTCTGATGATAGTTTATTTCCTTCGTTCTGTAGCTCTCTTAACCACTTACATTGCATTAAATTTATCCCAAAGATATTTCTATTGCCTTTGAAACTTCTCAGAATAGTATTGACATAACTGACATGAATGACATTTACTAAGCATTACTAGTGTAACATTGTGCACATTATGTCAGCATACAGAGGCTACAGTTTATCAGTGAGCTGGGCTTTTAATGCACTGCTTTCTATATGACCCTTTTTCATGTCATTGACCATCTATAATGTTACTTTAAAGTATAAGATAATTTTGTGAACATGGCCGAGATATGCACCTGATTGATAGTTGAGGCTCTTTTGAACATTAACTGGCTTGTAGCATAGTGCAGGAACTGCTATAAGCCAAGCCAGTTTACGATGATGAAGCAACGAGACCAAATTGGCTGGCCCCCTTGTTGACTTCATTTCTGTGAATTGTGAGCCAGGTATTACAGCAATAAACACGGCTGGGAATTCAACAAATACATTTCAGACAGCTAGATATCGCTTGTCTTTCTCTCAACACATACGTCTTTGGAAGGATCAACTATGTCACTGGAGGGGAGGACACTGCCATTGGCTGATTTGAGCATTCTTGTGCTCCATAGTCACGGCAGCCACTGCAGAGTGGGCCACGTACCCACGGCACCCGTAGTATCTGCACTGGCGCAGTCGTGACCACATTGAAGTTAGCCAACACGTTTATATAAAACAAAAAGTGAAAGGGCTCAAGGCCTTGAAGCATGCAGATGTGGCCTGTTGCCCCGATGTCACTCCCCCTGTTAAGCTTCGAGTGCGCTCGTTGGGAGAAACGCATGTGATGAATTCCTGCAAGTTTCGCTTGCATGTGACCAATTCGAAGAACATTTTTGCAGCAATCAATCTGTGGCAATAAACTCCGAGGCTGAGGTCATTAAGAAATTACTTGGAAAAGCGTTGCAGGGCTTTTTAAGGATGAAAGGAAAAACCTTGCCAATAAAAGTATTTTGTTGAAGATAAAAAAAATTGGCCGATCCCATGTACAGTGGGAATCGATGATATGCGAAGCACGAATGAGAAAGGTTGATATGCCATTTTAAAATCAGCACAATGTTACGAGGTGGAAGTAAAGTATGCCAAACATGACTTCCGTGTCTTGATTATCATGTTTGGATGTGTTGTTTATCTTCGTCATCTATTCAGGTCACGTGATACCAAATTTAGTATACGTAGAGCTATAGAAACAACCGTGAGTACGCTATGAGTGTGGTATGTTGTCATGTTCTTACATGACACGCATGTCAGGGTTATCATGTTTGCACAAGTCATATACTTTCATCATCCATTGACGTCACTTAACACCAAATTTGGTAAATGTGGAGCTAGCAAAACGGCCGCGAGTACATCATGAAGGGCCCAATATATTCCAATGTAGCGTTGACGCACGTGCACGCTGTTCACAGCGATGCTATGTTAGCAAAACGCGAGCACTCTAAAGTCTGACGCCAAGCGCGACCGGTGGGACCAGCGTCCATCGGCGCACCCCGACGTCAAACGGTGCTAAATGCGACATGCTGCATTTCGCGTTGATGCATTACCAAGACAACACTGCGTCTCCCTTTTCTCGTGATGGAAAGACGCCGGACGCGCTGATGCGCGCATGCATCAAAGCAACGCAGTGCGGTGCGCGCCTGCGAGTATATGGCAGGACCGGCGCCTGTCGTCACAACGCCGGCATGACGCGTCCAAATGAACGCTGGCGAGCACGCGCCCCGCGTCACGTCGAAATGTATTGGCGCCTCCTTGACTGTAGCATGTAGCCATGTTCTCACATGACACACATCTTATGTTTATCATGTTTGCACCAGTCGCATACCTTCGTCATCTACTGACGTCATGTAATACCAAGTTTGGCATGTGTGAAGCCAGCCAAACGGCCGTGAGTGCGCCATAAGTCTGGCATGTCGTCATGTTGTTACATGACACGCATGTCGTGATCATCATGTTTGTATGTGTCATTTACCCATGTCGTACGTTATCGTCACGTAATACCGAGCTTGGTACATGTGAAGCTAGCAAAACGGCCGCGAGCGCATCATTGGCGTGGCACGTAGTCATGTTGTTACATGACACGCATCTCATGATTATCATGTTTTCACCAGTCACATACCTTCGTCATCCATTGACGTACCGTAATACCAGGTTTGGTATATGTGACGCTAGCGACACAGACGCGAGCGCATCATGAGCGTGCCATGTAGTCATGTTGTTACATGACACGCATGTCATGATTTTCATGTTAGGGTCTGTCGCTTGTGTTTGCCATGCAATCATGTCATATCATACCAGTTTTGCAACATGCCATGTGAACGAAACTACCGCAAGAGCTGCAGGACCATGAAAAGTAAACCATGACCTTCATGACATCCATGTTATGATTTTCATGTTATGACTAGTCAAATAAGTTCTTCATACAGTCATGTTATGCCATACCAAGTTTGGTATCGATACCATTATCCAAACGGCCAGGAGAGCTAAAAGTCGTAGGCGGCTAGATAGATAGATAGATAGATGCTTAAAGTCGCTGAAGTTCGCTAAGAAATGCTTCGCATTTAAAACTTGGGGGCGCTGCGCTGACCAAGTGGAAAGTGAAAAAAATTGAGTGGGTCGAAGTGTCCGTCAGCCCGTTCGTGCGTCCATCCGTCCGTGCGTCCATCTAGTGAGCACTCCAAGTACCGCCATCTCGCATCCCCTGTAGCACATACCCGCTCTTGAACAGGTATGTGCCATCCTCTGTGCCACTGTGCTCTAGAGCAGGTATGTGCCACCGGTGGCTATGTAGGACAACAATGGAGGAAGGACAGACCCAGACCTTATAGAGCTTCGCCCCTAAAACACAGAAAATGTGCACAACCACACGGGAGCCTTGTTCGCAGGTGAAATCACTTGTGCACAAGAAATTTCACTAGTGAATTAAGGTGCTTAAAGCATGTGAAATAAGTGAGATCACTTGTGAATGAACGCGCTTACAGCACGTGAATAAGGGACATCACTTGTGAACAAGGCTCTCGTGTGGGAGCCGGAACGTCTTTTTCTTTGTTTTTCATTTTTCGCTTTAATCAGCGCAATGCCCTGAGTTTTTTTACCTTCAACCATGTATCATCCCGACCAGACTGGCTTCCGTCGTACTTTAAACTTCAAAAGTATTTGAAATGAAGAAAGAAATTCTACGTCTGAGGGCTGTGGGGCGGGGGCCTAGCTTGGCAGGATAAGCAAGTTTGCCAAAAAATGAAAGCTTTATTTGTCAGATGTACTTGAGTGCAGTTTAGACGTATCGTTTCACATATGAAAAGTTAAGTACACTTTGCTATTGCTTATTTTTTAGTTTACCTTCTTAACGTGCAGTACTCAAGGATTGAAACGGGACAACTTAGGGTTAAGTAATCCATGTACATTCATTTCAAAAGCAGGCTGTGATCTCCCTTAGATGTAATAGGAATCTGATCTAATTACTTTAACTAACTTCGTGATCTGTTGATCATAAAGTTAAGAAAGAGCTCTTCAGAATCTGTTTCTGTGATAAAAGACTGTACGAAAAAATTTTTCACTGATAATAAATTTTCTATCTGTATGAAATTTTGAACATCGTTTGTGACACCCTTTATATAAAATATTTAGCTTAAACTGTACCCAAACAACAATAATATGCTGTACACGCAAGTTTCTTTTGTTCCTATTTTGCATGACAAATTTGTCACCATGACATTTTAGTATCTGTCAGTCAATCTGATGTGTATTCTAGCCATAAAGACTGTAGTGGAGCCTGAGTATTTGGCATCAAAAAAAAATGTGGAAAACCTTTCTGCAGTCTTTATTGGCGCACTGCGGGATACCATCCCAACATGGCGCACGAAAAAAAAGTCCAAAACTAGTCAAGCCTTTGTTCCACTGGTCTTCATCTTTATGTCGACGCCGGCACAATAACAGCCTACTTGAAGTTTTTTTGATGGTGGCCTCGACTTCAAAACAATGTTTTTTCGAACTGCAGACTTCAAGTTCATGCAATGCATCCATGTGAAACACATGCAAAAGTAGCACTTTAGCATGTGTTTGTCCCCAGTTTTTACATCACTGATGGTGGCGTCACATACACAGTGTCTCCTGCAAAAGCTTGGTTTGCGTTTTGCGCGTCGAGCTGCTCTACATGTTCTTACGTGATCACTTCACTCTTACGGGAAGGTGACCACGATGTAGGAGGGGCTTCGAATAGATATCTGCAGTGGTTTGTGCACTTGTGAGTGCCACATGCGCATACTCGCTCGATTCCTCGCCTGGAAATTGTGTTTGCAGGTTGAATTGTGGTTTGAGGATGTAGATTTACCACACTTGGGTTTTCAGTCGATGGGCAGACTCAATTGATAGAGTAGAGAACACATGCAGGGCGTAACTGAAAGTTTTGCAGCAATTCATACTGGAGTTTTATGGTTCTTATCAGCTCTTTAGGCAAAGGCAGGTTGGCGTGTTGGTTTGGAATATATGGTGCCGTCGGCTCTGCTCTGGGCCATATGATGTTTCGATTTGTACCACTTTCTAGCAGAGAAATTCAGCAAGATCTTTGATGTTCCGAGAGAAGTGAATGGAGAAGATATGTTGGTGGGAACCGATTCGTGAGTTTTAATTGTGTAAAATATCATGAATGATACATCAAAAGGACATCAACTGGTGTGTTCAGTGTCCTTTCAACTATCCCCTGCATGTTTACTTTACAGCATAATTCCAAGTAATAGAAGCTCTTTACTGTGGTTCAAGCGAATTAGTGTTTTGCTTTTCATCAAGCAATCACTGGTGACACTCACCGTATCACTTTTGGTTTGTTGCCATGATTACGTTGTTCTGATGGCCAAAATGTCTGCTGATCCACGTCCTTGCTTTCTTGACGTGCTATGAAATGTCTAGTGTCAAATTGCTACTAGCTCTAGTGGATGTTTCCGTTTGCTAGCATGATATTCAGAACTGAAATCTCAGAGTAAACACACTCTTATGCCTTCTACGAAAAATTGCAAGTACGTAAAGTGTGCTGAATAACAAAATCTCATCAGTGCTAGAAGCGCATTGCTATGCCCTTAGCTTCGATAGTACTTGCATGAAACCGCATTTATTACCAAGATTTTTCTAAGTAGTTACCCCAGATTAGCCACTAAGCACAAGACTGAGACAGGCTGATCATGATGACTGAACCAAGACCAAAGAACTAAGTCTTTCAATTCGGGCGTCATTTGTCAGGGTGACTTTAAGTGGGAGCCTAGATACAGAACTGTATTGCGTATATATTACGACATTTGATCATACCTTTACATCTTCAGTACGAAATGAAAGTTTCTCACTTTCTTCTGGCCATTGTTATTGTTAATCGTATTCGTAGCCTTGCTTGTGTAGGCTCATTCCCTGACGTGCATTGTATATTTGCTTTTTGGTTAGATCGAAATCACGCCACAGGACATAACACATCATGCTTTGCACCATAAGCACGTATTGGCCGAAGTTGGTCCATCACTGTACAATATTCAAATCTCGTCCCACTGCTGACCTTCACTGAACACTCATAAAAACTTGTTGTCATGTAATGAAAGTGCAGTCAGTGACAACATTTACACTCTGTTGTAGCTGTCATGTTGACTTTTTCGAAGAGATAGAATGCTGCATTCCCTTCGCCTAGTGCATTCCTGTAACGTTTGGGAGTGCTGAGGCTTAAAAAAAAGAAGGAAAAAAAAAAGGACATGCCTCTGTGGGATGTGACAGTCGGCTGCATTTGTTTGTCGAGTGAAGTCTTGCGTTGCCATGTCGGTTTCTGTGTGAGCTGTTTCGTCATTCCACGTGCATCCAGCGGGTTTGTTTACGGTTGGCAGGACAGAGGGAGGCGGGGGGGGGGGGGTGCGGTAGGTGTGCGTCGCGGCATTCTCGCCCCTTGGCGCTGTGCTGCTGCAGCGGGGAGGAGGTAGGCGGCAGCTGTTTTGACTCTCTTCCTCGGCCGCGTCTACTCCTCCTCCCTGGCCTGGAACCGGATCGAACCGGAGGTGGCAGCATCAGCAGTGCAATCGGGCCCCGTTCCCTGCTGCTGCAATGGTCTCTGCTGGTGTGTCGCTGACTTCCCTTCGTTAATTCCCGCACCCGCGTAGGCGGCGGTTTGCCGGTTGACAGAACGGCCCGAAACTTTCTGATAGCACGTCGTCGATTGGCAGGCAGGGCGCGCGCCCGCCCTCGAACGTTTAACGTGGGTTCAGGCGTCCCTAGGAACACGGGAGCTCGAACCTCGAATGATCAGCCGCGGCGATGTGGTCTCCGCTGCGGCGCCGTTCGCAGCTGGGTATCTCGCCGCCGATCCGGTGTACTACTACAGCATCGTTCGTCAATTCATCGGGTAAGCAGCCCGCCGAGCTTCCTTTACCTTGCTTATCGCGCGCGCGTTCCTCCTCCTCTATTTTCCCCTCCCCACTGCGGGGCGTGCGGTTTTTGCACTCGGCCCGCGGCTGAGCAGCTGGGAAGAGCGGCCCTTTCGTATCTGCCGCTCGCGGCGGTTTCGTTTCGAAGTCGTCGCGCCCCTCCATTCGTCTGCAATGGCTAGGATAGCGCCCTGACAGCGCACCTCCTCGGGTTTTTTTTTTTTTTTTTTTTTTTTTCAGGGCGTATGAGGCGTTTAAATTTCGGGGAGAACAGCTTTTTCACCACTTGTGTTGGCTTGCTGCCATCCAGTGACGGAGAGCGCACTTTTTGTCGACGCACTCGGCTGTAGCAGCTATGCGTGTATCGAATTCGACGTTTCAACGAGTCTCTCGTTTCAAGCTTGCCAACGTTCGTGTATAATATCGCCTAGTATGTCCCACATGGGTCGCCGTCGCTTCTATAGGTAATGTATTGCGACGTATGTGCAGATAAAAATTTTGGTATCAAGCTGCTTTCGCGCCGCATTATTTACCTGGGGTCATACAGCGACGCTTTGTGGGGCGTTTATTTAGATGATCGTGCCACTTTGAAGATGATAAAGATTACTGTTGTTAGAGCTGTGCTGGTCAGCGGGAAACATTGCAGGTACTGCTTTACGGGATCACGAGCGTACAGAAACTTGCCATTTGCTTGCATGTACCACTTCTGCGCACAACGTGGAAAATAAGTGTTGTGCTGACGCATCTTTTCTTTTTTCCCTGCAGCACGTCGGCTGGGAGCACGGTGGCGATCGACAACAAAATTGAGCAGGCCATGGTAAGCTGAACTAGTTACTTTTTTATGGCTATCAGGAGTGGCATTTAATTTATTATGCCATTTCGTTTCCTTCAAAGCTTTGCTATTTAGTGTTGCTATTGCTGCATTACACTTGTGTTTGTGGAAGAACTGACTGTTCAGAAGCCATGCTTATGTAATTCTCTCCCAGCTGCAAGGGACAACGAGCTTCCTATAGATGGTAGATACTGTCACAATTTGTGAGCACTATATTAGTATTAAATGATTTTCATATGAAGCGAAACGAAATGTTTCAACCTGAGGGCTGCACAGCATTTTGCTATCCTTGCATGCATGTTTTCAGGCATCCATTCAGTAAGCACTCATTACGTGTTACTTTGATTCAGTTCTAACTATATGGAAAACTGTACATTATTAATTAAGGGGTGACACTACACCTGAAAACTTTTTATAAGTTTGTTGTCAATTGTGAATGAAACTCATTGAGTTTAGTTATATTTGTGTGCCAATTTCAAATGTGCAATTTCTTTTCGTTATTATGCAATACATAGTTTTTTTAATTACACATGTTATTTTGGAAGCTATTCTTTTCTTAAACTGAACAATAAAGTTGTGTTCTCTCTTTTCTTAAACTGAGAGATTTACTTATTAAATAAGCACATCACAATGACCAGGAATTAGTGCAAGAAAACAAAGAACAGATGTTGTAAGCCCACTTGAACAAAAGTTGTAGTATGTTGAATATTTGCGACTGATATCCCATACTCATTGGCAAATGTTCAACATACCATAACTTTTGTTCAAATAGATCTAGAACATCCATTCTTGTTTTCTTGCACTCTGCACTCATTCCTGGTCGTTCTGATGTGCTGCGGCGGCCCAAATCTGACCAGAGTCATCATTCTACATTTCTTTATACATAACCCTAGGGCAGTTCAGAGATGCAAAGCGCTTATCAAATGGTGTCACAAAAGGCAACAGTGTACACCTGTACATAGATATCCCTCAAGTAGGTGCACCATAAAGTGATAAACTCTTGATGATAGTGTCATCAGCTCCACTGTTCTTTTAGAACTTGGGGGTGCTTTTTTTCTTTAATGCATTGGTATTATATGCCAAACTCCACATATAATTCATCGGCAGATTATGCAGTTATGAGCTATTATTAGTTTGGGATGTCAAAATATTGCCACGCTGTGTTGGTGGCAGAAGAGGAGAGCGAAGAAGTGAAAGGCTGCTGTGGCTGAGTAAACAGTAGTCCACTTCGAGTTCCTGTCTATCGTTTCCTCTCGCGACAATATTCAAGTACAATGTGCGGTGAGCTTCTTCATGCAACGTTTTTAAACAAGATATTCCATTGAACGTTGGATAACAAAAAATGCTACACAAAACTGTTGCTTTAATTTCTTACTGAGACATGTCTCATAATCGTATCATGACTGTGGCACATAAATTGCTACAATTTAATTTTATGCTGGTATAGAATATATGTGTTATTAAAAGGTAATTTAGTACTGCTTCTGAAGCATCTATCATTACACGATGGCAGTTTTCAGACGTCGTATTTTTTTTTTTCAATATTTTAAAGGATTTTGACAGCGAAAGTTTTGTTTGTGTCTTTTTTACAGTAATTTGTTGCTTTACTTCTGATAATGCCGAAATTGAATCGTAAATACTTTAACGCATCGTATAATGCTAGTATCGTTATTAGTGCTCGGGGTATTGTGCGCACCCCTCAAGTGTTCTCTGACATCGACAATGCTTGATCGACTTCTGCCACGTCTCGAGGGGGGGGCCTGTCTACGTCAAACCACAGAAAATGCTTATTTGACCGGAATACCTGGATGAGTACTCATCCTTACTTTAAAACCAAATTAAAATATCTTGAAGCAACGCTCATCACCAATCAGTCGGGAGTGTAGTAGGCAGAACTCGAACAACACAAGCATCTCGAGTTTTCAAATTTGGTGTCAGGTGTCCTTTAAAAGATTTATACCTCATCATTCATTATAATGTTTGCACCAATTCTTCATCGGACTTTGTTAATCTCATATTTACTTTTTAAAAATTATGCTGTAGTCAAAAGCAATCCTTTGACAATGTTTGTGTACTACAGCATAATGTGAATATATCTGAAGTGCAGAAAGCAAACCTTCACTTTCACACATATACCCTGGAGAAATAAATCTTCCCATCCCTAGGAATCAGTAATAGGTTTAATAAACACAAAAGTTGCAATCTACTGGAATGTGACTTTATACTTACATACATCACTGTTTCTGGCATCACTTTGGTAACAAATTTGACCCTAAGGCTGTTTGTCAGTTTTTTTTTTTTACTCTAAGTGTTGACAGTTCGACGTACCTTCAAGTCACTTGCGCGAGTCTTGTTTCATAGATACAGTGCATATACTTACACTAAAATGTTTCTATAATGAAGGTGCATTTCATAAGGTAATAAGTTCCGAAAATTTGTTATAGAAGTATATTTCTGACAGTATAGCTATTGCGAGACTATTCTTCACTTCATTATGACCGATATCTCGTTATATTCATGTTCATTATATCAAGGATTGGGGGTATCATGCGGAAGTAACACCTGGTTTCTTGCAAGTGCTGCAGAGTTCATCAGGCCGTAGGGACACTGGTGACCACCATCTCCTTGACCATTTACACGTTGCCCCGCCGCGGTGGTCTAGTGGCTAAGGTACTCGGCTGCTGACCCGCAGGTCGCGGGTTCAAATCCCGGCTGCGGCGGCTGCATTTCCGATGGAGGCGGAAATGTCGTAGGCCGTGTGCTCAGATTTGGGTGCACGTTAAAGAACCCCAGGTGGTCGAAATTTCCGGAGCCCTCCACTACGGCGTCTCTCATAATCATATGGTGATTTTGGGACGTTAAACCCCACAAATCAACCATTTACACGTTGTTAGTCACTGAGACTCATCTAATTTGCATTTTCTCTTTTTTGTCAAGGACTTAGTCAAGAGCCATCTCATGTTTGCCGTGCGTGAGGAAGTAGATGTGCTCAAGGAAAAGATAACAGAGCTGTTGGACCGGATAGCTCAGCTGGAGTACGAGAACAATATCTTGCGTGCTGGTGCCTCACCGGAGACCCTGAGTCTACTGGCTCAGTCTACGCAACAAACGGTAGTGCCGGTGTCTCAGCCCCAGCAGACGATAGCGGCAGTGCCGCAGCCGGTTGTTGTGCCAGCCCAGCCCGCAGTTGTGCCGGCCCACCACCAGCCTCAGCAGCAGGCACCTGCTGCTCCGGTGCAACCTGTGACCATGCAGTCAGCTACAGTGCAAGCTCCGCAGCTTGTTACGGTTGTCCAGCAGCCACAACAGCTGGTTCATCAGCAGCCGCCACAGCAGCTGGCGCATCAGCAACCGCAGCCCCTGCCTTCGCAATCTATGCCGCTACAGCATCAGCAGTCCCACTTAACACAGCATCAGCAGCAACACCTACAACAAAAACAGCCTTTGCAACAGCCCCCACCCACGTAGCTTCAGTGTTAGTTGTACATAGGACAGTTTAATCGGGAAAGCACCACTCGGTGGGGCGAAAAGGGATGCAAGACAAGAAAGGACCAGTGTGCTTTGTGTGAAGTGTCTTAGGTGTACATAGACAGTGTGGCTTCCTTTCATTTTTTTTCCACTAGTGAACTGGTGGGGTGGATTAGTGACGACCGACCTAATTAGCTGGTCCTTGTTGCCTTCTCTCTTGGAAGAAGTACGAGGAGCTGTGATGAAAAAAGTTCTGTGCTGTTCCTTGCTGTGCTCCCTGCCCCAGTATCACTGCATTTTCTGTTTCACCTTACACAGCCATGTGCCTATTTCTCTCTCATGTGTTAAGGAAAACTATAGTCGTCACTGTCTTTTCCCCTGTTTTTCTTGACACAAAGTACTTTTTGCTCATCTTGGTGGCGCGAGCACACCTGAGTCATTGCTTTATTACCTTTTTTTTTACTTTGTCCTTTGTTGTTATGTAAAGAAAAGCAGTCTGGTCACATGCAGCTTGCGTCCCAAGTGTGTGTTATATATATACATACATATATGTTTGTGTGTGTGCCGAATCCGGCTTGAGACAATTGAGATGTCAGCATGTCTTGGAATGCTCACAGCAGTCAGTTTTGTGTGGTGCGACTGATCAGACTAACATTTCTAGATAATCGACGTAAAAAAAAAACCTTGCGAGACTGGCAGCCTTTTCAGAAAGGTGCATGCAGGTTAGGCTTGTTGTAGCTTCTCAGTAATATAAGGACTGAAGAAAAAAAGGCATCCTGTTAACGAGCAGTTCCTATCCTCCTGTCATTTTAGAATCTTCTGACCCAACTGCTTATAGTGTATCAGCATGGGTTGTGTCCATTCCTTTCCCCAGTCAAGTTTTGACAGATGGAATTCCTTGTTGAGCTTTTTCCAAGCTTTAGTCAAGTTAGCAATTCTGCTTCAGTAAAGGAGACTAATGGGGATGCACTTTTTAAGTGAGTTTTACTCTGTTTTGGCCTTAATGTGCAGACTCGTTGATGCATTAACCCCTTTTGCTCCTTTTTTATTTACACTTGGAAAGCCTGGACCCTTTTTCTTTCTACTGGTGTTTGACATGGTAGCTCTTGTAATGCCTGTATATAGGATGCAAAAGCGAATAATTTATATGGCATTTCTACTGCTGTATTTGGGCAACTGTTTGTGCCTAGGTAAATAAAGTGCATATTTTTGTTAGGGACGAGACGAAACAAGGCGATTGGCTGAGCTGGTTTACTTGCTCTCTAATAACTATCGACGTATAGGGTGTCTGTTTGTCTTGCTGTTTTACATATTTATTAGTTTTAATCAGCTGCTGCAGTTCTTTGGCAAAACAAAAACAAAACAATTAAAATGCTTCGAATAATGCCCTCTGTCTAAGTCTCACTTCTGCTGCTGCTGCTACATCGGAGTTTCACTTTCCTACTTCTGTTTAAACGACACTAAAGAGAGGCCTAATAACTTCAAACTGATAAAAGTACTACATAGTTTTGTTCTACTGCTAAATGTTTAACTAGCCGCAAGCATACAGCTGCATTAGTGCCATTGTGAGCTAGTGTGAAAACCTGTTGCATTCACTACCGTCCATCTTTCGTGTCTTTCTTCTGGAGCATCTAATACTGCTCATATAATTTTCCTCTTCAATGTAAGTTGCAGCGAGGCTTATATTCTCTATTCATTTATTATGTTCTGCAAAGTTTGGCATATGTCAGTGTCAGCACTTGTAAGGCCAAGCATAGTAGCATTATCCAAGTGCAGTATTTTCTTTTTTATGGTACCATAGCTGAGAGTTAGTTTCATAACAAACATGAAACACTGTAAAAAGACAATGGATAGATGCATTACAGATATGCACAGATTGTCTCTTTGTCTGTAGATTCTGCATTTTTTTTGCACTGTTTTATCTTTTCCAACTATGAGCCATTTTGCCCAAGTATCCATTTTAGAATAGCAGCGAGGACAATCTGCGATGTGGGAGTTCATAGCCCTGTAACCTTGTTTCACCATGAAATTCTCACAATGCACTTCGGTATTTTGGTTTCAAGTGCACACCGACATCCAAATGAATAGAGGAATTAACCCTCAACAGCTGTTGTAACAAGAATGCCCGCAATATTGGCATGGGCTTGCAACACTTGTCACAAGACGTGGTGCCACTCAAGGAGCTGTGAACAGCTGCCATTACCATAGGAAGACTTGTCTTAAATGAATATGAGGAAATTAGTGAGATATAGGCCTCAGTATAGCACCATAGTTGCCATAGTTTCGCTACCATAGCTACCTATCGGTGTGTGAGTGTGAACTGTATTTTCAAAGGAAACCATCCTTAATGAAGGAAAGTGTTATACTCTTGTTCAGCACATTCATAAGGTTCATACTTGATTCAGTCGACTCTCACTGCACCTAGGCCTTGATTCCTGAAGTAGCAGCACAGCTTGCACTTCTCTTGATTCTTCTGGGAGTGAAAGGTAAAGTGCCACCAGCTGCCACTGCAGGAGCACGCCATTGAACCTTAGCAGTGAGTGGGTGCAGCCTGGTATGCTTGGGCAGGGGTGCAACAGCTGTGCCAATTTGATACAATTTTCCATTTTTGCACCGAGCTGTGGCAAAATCCGGAAATTTGAACTAACACCACGCTGCGTCAAAATGACCATGCGATAATTTCTATGAGATATGAAGGCCACGTTGGCCTCCTGTAGTTTGCGTCCTCAAACAATCCAGGTACACCGACCCTTACCCTAAACCTGCTGGTCGAAAATTTCTTGGCCTTGTTATAACCCGTGCAGAACGCCACTTAAGCAACCTTTGCCGCAGTACCCGGATGGCCTGCAGAAAAGCGTTTTAATATTTGAAAGGGGCTGTTTGCATTGGTCACGGGACACATCACAGTGTATTCAATTACTCATGCATGAATACGCAGCGTAATTTTCAGTACTAGTATGATCATTGACGTTTAAAACGAGTTGCTGGCATTCATTTGGAGCTCTGTACAACATTTGTGCAGCCCTAAAAAAAATCAATACTATGCACCAGTTTCTCTTTTTTTTCGCCACCCCTAAGGTCGCCAGCAAACAATACTACGCACCAGTTTTTTTTTTTCTTTTTGGCACCCCTAAGGTCGTCAGTTCGGCAGATTTAGATTTGAGTCCTCAAAGTATGTCAAAGTATTTGACCAGCATGGCAAATGCTAATGTGGACTTTATCATTGTTTGCCGGGTGGGTGGTACAAAATACTACTTTTATTGAAATAGCAGGACTCATATTCACTCTGCACGATTTAGGGAATGTTGAATGATTTTGTGTAAATGTAAGCCTTCTTTCGGATACAACTGCAAATTTGGTCTCTCGTGATAAAAAAAAATCAATTTTTTTTCTGTATTCTGCTGCTCCGAAAATTGCTCCAAGTTATATTTCGGTTGTTGCACCCCTGCCTGCATCTTACTTTATAGTGCACAACGCCATGAGTGACGACTATATACTATCACGCACCTGATGATCAGTGCAAGTTCATAGAAATGGCAATTTCAGAGCAGCTCGTGAAGCTCTAGACACGCAGAGCTTCCAGGCTGCTGACCAGGCCTTTTGCCATGATGTTGCAGCTAAAGCATGCCATTCTTTCATTGGGTGTTGACTCTGCTGTCGGACCACGGCAAGAATCTGTTGAGGCAAGGCTCTAGCACGAAACAATAGTGTTGCAGCTGTGGCATATTGGAGGATTGCAGACAAAGGACTCCTCTGTGCATTTGATATCTGCACACCCCGCCTGACCTGTACGGCAAAACTTGCACAATGTTCTGTGATTCTGGCATTGTAAATAACAATAGATTTATGCCAGGAATTCATTTCAAAATAGTACGCTACAAACTTATATGCCAAGCATACATGGGCAATTGGAATATTCACAGGTTGCAGAGAACCGTTCAAGCCCTATTCTCTGCGCAAGTTTCAGTTCACTTTTGGCGGTGAACACATAGCTACAGATGGCAAACATTTTATTGTGCCTTGATTATGCACTGTCCATTGTGGGCGTTAGTCAGATCGGGTGATTTTATTTACCTGTAAAGCACTGTGTTGAACATTGAGAGCATTAACAGGGTAGCCGACCAGTCTGAGAACTGGCTAACCTTCCTGTCCTTGCATCTTCCTCCTCCTCGAGAGCAAGATCAGTTACCTTAAAAGGACACTGAACAAAATTTTTGCCGCTAATATTTTCAGCCAGTTCGATAGATGGGATCCTGAAATTGATAGACAACCTTCATTTCAAGCCGAAACTTTGGTAAAATAATGAATTTAATGGGTTTTTCACAAACTGTTCCGTCTAGCGGCAGCGCTGTGAACTAGAAGATGGGTGACGTCGAACTCACCGGAAACTGGCAAGCCAACAATGCCAGCCATCGCCTACGTCTCTCGACTTGCTCAACTTCCACTACGGTTCCCAGAACTGGTATGAACAGCAACAGCAGCGAACAATGCTTCCGGCTAGGGCTTTCCGGCTGCTTCCAGCTAGGGTTTTCCCTTCCACAAAAGCGCTGGCTGGTGCTTTTGTAGAAGGGAAAGAGTGGAGTAAAAGGACAACTGGAGAAAAAGAGAAGGGGGACAGGAACACGTGCATCCTGCATGCACCTCTGCGAGTTTGACATCAATGCTCGCACTCGCGAGCTGCCGCCGCGCGCTCGCAATCCATCAAAGATACAACCAACTGTTAAAAAATACGGGAAATCGACTCTGTTTATCGGAACAGTGGCATCTTCCGAGTGGAATTTCGAGGTTGCGCCAGTTTTTCCAATTTTTGTTCAGTATCCCTCTAAGTCTTCAGAGTGCACACACATAAAAAAAGTATCATGTACTTTTTCAGTGTAAATATTTTTAGTAAAAGACATTTGACTAGAAATAATTTAGCAATGCTACTAGCTTTCTATGTAAACAGTCAATGTAATTAATTAAAAGGAAATGGATATTTACATAAATTCATAGCATTGAGGAAACATTTGGTGATTCATTGAGTTTGTTTGGAAGAAAGGAAGAGCATGTTAGGAGACAAATTATGAAGCTGATGAACCTGATTGGAGGTGTTTCCTCACTGTTTTGCCACCGCTCCTAAAAGAGCCAAAGGTAGCTGTAACTTTACTCTTTCACATAACGGGGATCATGTTACGGGTAATGTAGACCTAAAAGTTGATAGTCACGTAGGCTACGTATGGGCTTTAAAAATCATGAATAATTGCTCATTTTATGCCTATCATCATGCATTATGTCTGGCACATGGTATACTTTTGTGGTTTCTCGCCAAACTAAGGATCCTTGGTTATATTTGGTTGGAATAGGTTGCACATTTCTGGCGGCATGCAGTTTCAACTGTGAAAGTGAATCACAGTTTTTTAGAGTCTTTAGAGATAACTATACAAGCATTTTTAACTCCACAAGTTAATGACAGCCTTTGGAGATAACTACACAATTATTGTCGAGTTCGGAAGTATATTCTGCAAACTGGTAGGTTTGTGCAGAAATATTATGCTTTGATGACATATTAAGTAAGCCACATGAAGCAGATTATTTCTAATATTTGGTGGAAACAACTCCCAGGTTGTGGGCATGTAGACTGTGTCCAGAAAGACACAGGAGAAATATTGTAATTATGAAATGGCAGTCCACAGTTTGCTCTTGCATCGTGCTACTCTGCGACAAGAAAAAAAAATGGAGAGAAAGAGCATTACAGTTGGTTACGGCAGACTGATGGCATCAGTAAGTATCATTATTATTGATGTTATTTTTTATTTAGGAGGAGTTCTTTCAAATACTGGAACTATGATTTCCTACATGTGTTATCATTGAGCCATTGTTCATAGCCCCATGTTGGTCAGCCCACAACTACACAGTGATATTTCACAGGTTGCTCTTGTTCTCGGGTGCACCAAAAGCAGATGATAGGTGTTCATTGCAAAAACAGAAGCGAAGCGCTTCGGGCATTGAACATTTTGTCAGAATGACCCCAAGTGCACTGTCGTTCTTTATCAAAGGGAACACGCGATCGCGTGACCTGCTTTCTACGGCTGCCTACAGTATCTTGCAGCACTTGTCCGGCAGCAATAACTCGTTGTTTTGTTTGCCAATAGGTGACGCCAAAAGCCAATGTCTTTTCTTTTGCAGTCAGTTGATGATGGTCCTCTAGGCAGCTGCTGCAGAGCGCAGACCACGTGCTCACGTGTTCCCTTTCATAAAGGACAACAATGTACAAGTGATGGGTGGTGCAAGCATCACCTCTACAGAGTTTCTGGAGAGAATATCTTTGCCTAAAAAAGACTGTAGGCAAGTGATCAGACGTTCCACTGCTGTGGTACTGATGGTTTTAGTGTTGAGAAATTGGCTGCCA